CGAGCCCGATTTTAGGGTACAGAATCGGGCTCTTGAAGGGCCCGAAAGGCCGGCCGGAGGTCATATTCTAAGATTCAGCCTGCAGGCCAGGGCCCTTTAATGCCAGCCAAAGGGCCTTTTGCGTCGATCGGGGCCCGCTGAGTCCATAAGAGCCTATTTGCCGGTCAGACGTCATCACTACCGCACAGTCAGCTCAGTGTCGACTCGGGCCCGAGGACCAATTTCCCAAGCAGAGACACAGCAGGAGCTAGCGATTTACAGCGTCTATCAAAAGTCTACAGTGTCTAACAGGGGCCCCGTGTTGTCAAAGGGCCCTGAGTCGAGCAAAGGCAGTGTTTGAGGAGGCCGAAGAGAGCCTTGAGGGCCCACCGGACCGACGATTAAGGGCCGATTAGAGAGCTCAGAGGCACGAGGGGCTGGGCGGAGTCATCTTAAGGGACCCCGGCGTGCGGGGAGGGGCCTCAAATGACTGTCAGAGGGCCCTTTGCGCCAGTAGGGACCCCCGAGTTGATGAAGACCCATATGTCGATTGGGCACCACCAGTTCCGCACAGTCGGCTCCGTGTCGGTATAGACCTGAGGACCGAATTCTAAAGCTGCGACATGCCCGGGGCCAACGATTTACACTGTTCGGAGTTCCGGTATCTTTCAGGGGCCACAGTGCCTAACAGAGGTTCTGTGTAGGTAAGGGACCCGACTCGACCAAGGGCAGTGTTCAGTGAGGCCCGAAGAGATGTCTGGGGCCCACTGAAACAGATGATCATGGCCTCTGTGCCAGTCGGGGGCCCACAGAGCCTAGCAGGGGGTCATGTGTCAGCAGGTGGCCCTGGGCCCGTCACGGGCTTTGTTTGAGGAGCCCGAAGAGGAGCCGATGGGCCCCTTGAGGCGAGAGTCCGGCTAAAAGGCTGAACGGGCTGAAGGACCGAAATGACTAGCCGTATGTCATAATAAGGTTTGCCCCACACCCGTAGGGCTGTGGTCTCAAATGTCAGTCAGAGGGCCTCGTGCATCGTTTGGGACCCGTGGGACAGTGCGGGTCTCTATTTCGGTAAAAGACCACCAACACGGAACAGTCAGCTCCGTATCAGTCTGATTCCTGGGGATCCACTTCCCAAGCACGAGCAAGGCTGGGTCCGCGATTTGCATCAGTTGGGGTCACTGAAACCATGAGGGTGTCGGCCAGGGGCCCACAGTGCCTAGCAAGGGGTTCTTTGTCGCCAAGTGACCCCGAGTCGCCAAGAGCCGTTTTTAAGATGGCCCGAAAAGGGGCTCAAAGACCAACTCGGGACCAAGTATCAAGGGTCTACTTGGACCCCCCCCCCCCCCCCTCCTCATCTGTTGTGCTGTGACCTAAAATGTCAGTCAGAGGGCCTCTACTATTGTCCTCTTGTTAACGCCCTCTTTTCCTATTACAACGACCCTCGAAGCGGGGACAAGCAATCCACCCCGTGTCGGTCTGAGTCTTGTGGATCCGTTTCCCACGCGGGAACAAGACCGGGGCCCGCGATTTGCAACGTTCGGGCAACTGATAGCGTGAGGCGCTCCTATGTTGGTCAGGGGCCCCGGTGCCTAACAGGGGTCTTGTGTCGACAAGTGACCCCGAGTCAGCCGAGAGCCGCGTTTGAGGGGCCCGAAGTGGGGTCGAAGGGCATATTGAGACCACGGATCAAGATCCTGATTGCAAAGCTGAAGGCACTGAAGGGCTGGCTGTATTCACATTAACGACCTACACAGTCCGCAGAACTGTGACCTTAAAGGTCAGTTTGAGGTCTTCTAGCTCTGATTGGGGACCACTGAAACAGCACATTCGTCTATTTCGGCTAGAGATCCCCAGCACCGAACAGTCGGCACCGCGCCGGTCTAAGGTCTTGGGGGCTCATTTTTCCAAGCAGAGACGATAGCGAGCTCACGATTTGCGCTGGTCGGGGCCCTCTGCAGCATTGTGGGGCTCCTGCGGCAGTCAGCCGTCCACGGTCCTGACAGGATGTCCTGTGTCAGCAAGGGGCTTCGAGAGAACAGGGATGAGGTTGGAGCCTCTACTATCAGGGGGACTCTTGCGTCTGTCGGGGCCCTCTGACAATGGAAGGAAACATGAGAAATTATGACGAGAGCTTACACTGAAACAGCAGGAGGACCCCCTGTCAGTCAGGGCTCCCAATGCCGAAAGGCGGGCCCTCTCACCTACCGTCGGCCATTGGCCGAACTGAAATCCACGTGCCTGTTACCGGATTACCTGCGGTGACCAGTTACCTTATGCGTTACTGGGGGTTCTGGCGTCGATTCAGGGCCAACTGCGCGGGTCGGAAGGCATCCCGCGTCAGGGAGGGGACCAATGTGATGTTTATCCCTTCGAGGGCCTATGAATCAAACAGGGGATGCCTTTCCGTATCACCTGAATGACAGCCGGAAGGCACTCCACGCTGGGATGAAATGATCCTGTAGTCCCTGACCAGAAACGCCCCTGACCGAGCGAAAACTCGCAGCTAACGGCCGCAGCACGTCCCTGGAGCGACAAGGCATCGTCTGTGCACAGGACAAGGCGGTGGCTGTGGATAAGAGGGCAGATGTTCGGGTAGCTCCGCAAGCGGACGGCTTACCTGGCCGCCTGGGGTCGTTTGCGTCCCCGCCGCCGAGTGCGCCAACGTCGCTTCTTCGGGGCAGGGCTGAGCACGGCGTGGACCGTCTCGCGGAGCGCGCACACCAACGCCCTCTCGGCTGCTGTACTTAGCGCCACGCAGCGGCAGCCGGCAAGGCTCTGATTTGGCAGATCATCGGTAGGTAGCGTCGCGATCGACTGGCAGCGGCCGTCCGAGCATCGACAGTCTGTTGACATTTCGCGAGTTTGGCTTGTCCTCCGAGACACGTTCTCCTCCATACAGGTAAGACTAGACAGCTTACGGTGAGCACGAACAACATCAACATCCCTAACTACACTGCGCATGGAAGACGACTGGAAGACTTGGTTGCCTCGGCGCATTACTGCTTATCACATTGCGTTTCACACTATGGAAGACTGATCTCCGACGCCGAGGGCTACCCCCGATCCAGCTCACATGTTTAGGATCGCTGACAGGTACCATGGAAGACGTGACGGTTACCAACATGAAGGCCGTGATAAAAAAACACGCCACCTGATAAGCTACATGCTGGAGACGCTTCAAACCATACTGTCGCGCCACATCTGCCTATTCCAGACCCATTTATAGGCTATCCACGCCACAATTAGCGTCCCCGTCGTGCGCGTCCATCTTTGCACCAATGGACCAACAACACCACGTTATCGCACAGCAGCCGGCACATCACCACCGCACCACCGGGCAGCACCAAGCGCCAACACAACACGGCAGCCCGCTCCGTGTCTCCGGCCCGATCCTCGTCTCCATCTCCGTCCCGGTTTGTCCGCTCGGCTCCTCACTCGCGTCTTCCGGTCGGGCCCATCGTTCACATGCCACGTCCTCCGCACGCGCCCATCCCTCACATATCACGCCCTCCGATCGCGTCTATCACTCACGGCTCTCGTCCCCCGCTCGTGCCCGTCGCTGGTGTAGCGTCCAGCGGATGCAGGCGGCCGTCGGTCGGTCGGCCGCCGGCGCAGCACGCGCTCCCGGACCGGCTGCGTCGGGCCGTGTGGCCGGCCAGACTGAGGCCAGTCCGGCGGCCCGCATCGATCGAGACAGGCGGAGAGCGACCGGCAGGCGCCGGCGGCGCAAGTTCCCCTCTAGAGGTCGGGGATGCGTCGGAGAGCGGCCAGGGCGGCGCCGGCTCCCTCCGAAGTCAGGGCCGACGACGCGACGGGCCTCGATGGGGCTGGACGCGCGGCACCGCCCCCCCCCCCCCCCCCGGGTGGAAAGGGTGTTGATTTCGGCGCGAGTGCATTGATTACTGGGTTTACAATCAGTAGACGTTGACAGACCGGAACGCCCAGATCTACGTTTGTGACCATGTACGCGCGTTGTTGTTATCCAAATGGCTGTTAGGATTACCTGTCTCGCCAACTGCGTCGTACCCACAGATCGGGAGATGTGGTGCTCAAGAATGAAAGCTGGGAATTCGGCTGCACTGGAGTCTTTTCTAGACATCCACGAGTAATCAGTTCGAAGTGGTTAAATTCGTTAGGCAAAACGCACTATGATAGCCAAGTTAACCCGGCAACACTGCCATTTGGACAGTACATCACGTACTACCAATCAAGGTATTCGCCGACATTACGATCGTAAATTATTCAGCACAGGTAATTTCCTCTCATCGCTGTTGCCTTTCCAGCGTCACTCACTGATATGACTTCAATAAAAACAAAGCTTCAACAAAAACAAAGCGTCACATTTCGTACGTTCACAACGGCCTCCCGAGTAATTCTTGTCACTTCGAGACAAAAACGTAAAATATTGGTATTTATTCCACATGTCCTAAACCTAGATCGCAATTCTCCAAAAACAATGAGAACACTTGCGACACCCGAGCATCTGCGGTCACAGTTTGCATATCTATCAACGTGAAACGGTTCCGCTCGTACCCAGCACAGATAACCAACGGCACGGGCCGAACAATACCCTGGCTGCAAACCAGCAGAGGCAACTGACTCGCTCCACTGCCTGACGACCCGACACAAGCACATCAGGAGGGCCACCACGACTGTGGCATCGGCCGGACATCCCATCGTAGCGGCACAGGACAGCGCGTCCGCCGCCGCCGTCTGACGCCCGCGGGGCGGGCCGCTCGCAGGCTGTGGTGTCGTTCCGCCAGCCCGGCGAGGCGCCGCGGATGGCACGTCGGCCGCTCCTGTCCCCGCGCTATGCCGCGCCTCAGGATCGCTCCAACCGGGCTCAGGCCATCCCCGTCTCAGTCCGGGTCGTCCCAGCCGCGGTCGGGGCCGCCCGAAGCCGCGGTCAGGGCCGCCCCAGCCGCGGTCAGGGCCGCCCCAGCTGCGGCCCGACCCGCCCCAGCCGGGATCAGGGCCGCCCCAGCCGCGGTCAGGGCCGCCCCAGCCGCAGTCAGGGCCGCCCCAGCCAGCGGTCAGGGCCGCCCCAGCTGCGGCCCGACTCGCCCCAGCCGGGATCAGGGCCGCCCCAGCCGCGGTCAGGATCACCTAAGCCGCGGTTAGGGCCGCTCCAGCCACGGTCAGGATCACCCAAGCCGCGGTTAGGGCCGCCCCAGCCACGGTCAGGGCCGCTCCAGCCGCGGTCAGGATCACCCAAGCCGACAGTTAGGGCCGCCCCAGCCGCGGTCTGAGCCCAGGCATCACCTCACTGGGGCGGCGCCTTGGCCACGCCAACCAGCGCGGGCCGAATGGTGCGGCCGTGCAGCTGGTAGCCAAGCTTGGTCACCAAGCACACGTCGCCCGGCTGGTGGCCCTCCACCGGCTGCTCGAACAGCGCCTCGTGTAGGTGCGGGTCGAACTTCTCGCCCAGCGGGTTGATCTGCACCACTCCGTGCCGCCGGAACACCTGGCAGGCGAGGCGCAGGTGAGCGCGCGTCGCGAGACGCGCCCGACCGGGCGAGACGCTGGCTTCTGGCGCACGTCGACGTTACAAGCTGAGGACGTTTTGAGAACGTTCTCGTCACGCCCGCTGATAGTAAAGGCTGCCACAAGTCTGGTCTGCATTACCGCCAGTGAGGCCGCCTGGATCGTGTATGCCAACGCTAGTCTGTGGGATGCCTGACCCACACAGCAGGAGACCAGGCTGGGTCAATGGAGGCTCACTTCACACGGCCATAAACACCCGCCCCAAACATACATGATCTACACATGCCTGGCTTTTAGCTGCAACACAGCGAGCTTTGAACACGGTGGATTACTGTTCTCCAGTCGTTTGTCCGTAGTTTTCAACTCGCCGTTTAGTCTAGTCATGAACGCGAGATGCCAAGCTGTTTGCTCCCACACCTTTTCTGTGCGCGGCTTTAAAAATCCCTCATCGTGAACACGCCCCGCCTCAATAATGACCTGCATGTATACCTATCGTTGCGTGCATACATACCCACCTGCACACCGAGTGTGCAGGCGGGTATGCATGCAATCATGCGCAATCCCGCCTCAACACTGACCTGCATGTATACCTATTGCTGCATGTATACATGCCCGCCTACACACATGGATGCCTTTTGTTGTGAGCAACGCCGTGGACCATAGATACGCAAACACGAAAGTCATTCACAGGAGACACTCACTTTGAGTGTCCAGCCCAAGTGGCGCAGACAGCCGTGTGTAGGCCGACTCCCGGCCACAACACCGGAGTCGCGACCCCAGAACCGCGCAGATTCGCGACGAAGTCCACCCACCGTGAACAGCTGCGCCTCGGTCATCTTCAGCCCCTCGAACAGGCTCTTGAGGTGCGGGTTTCTGTCCGTGATCTCCTCGGGCGGCACGCTCTCTGTGGCCTTACCCAGGATGTCGGCCACCTGCGACGGCCGGACTCGTGTCAGCGCCGCGTGCTGGCGCGCGGGCCCTCCCCGGCAGCGGAACCTCGCCCGCCGGCAGCCACCCAGCGGGCTGGGCTCGGTGACGGGCGCTGGCTGGGCATGCTTCACAGACACAGTTACAGCGGGGGTCTGGGCGCACACACAGACTGGGACGCATAAAGACGAAATCGTAAAACCGTTGTCATCTGGGTGTACAGGCTGACCAACACGTTACGACACCGAACACGTTAGGACAACCAATTTGCCTTCAACTATGGTAAGACACTTGACTTAGAGCTCTCAGGACCGCGACAAACAAACAAAAAAAGACGCGCAACATAAGCCGAAACAAACAATATGCAAAGACAATCTATAACAGGCAGTACAAAACTATCTTAAACTAAACTGACCCAATGGATGTCTTACAAGAGTGCAAAACTAGTGACTGCATCAACTAGAATCGTTGCTTACGTGCAGTGTGAGACCTGTCTGAGACATCGGACAAACACATGCCACAAGAACAAATGCACGCATTATGACGCATCACAGTGGCAACGCAGCGTGCCGATGACGGTGCTGGCTCCAATAACCAGCTCAATAGAGCGGCTCTCCAATCAGACCAGCCGCTGAACAAGGAAACCATCCAATCGGACGCTTCACTACGATCACTCACATCGAGCAGGTCCTTGCAGAATGACTGAATGCCGTATATTTTGCTATCCTGAACTTGCTTTTCCAGCCGGGTGCGCACATTCTCGCGGTCGGCCAGCGAGCGTTTGTACTTGTCCTGCAACGTCACGCCAGTGGTCTGAGCACACCATCTGAGAGGCCTCACAGCAGAGAAGACGAGTGCCTCAGTCATGGTCATCACTACAGCATAAGGAGACAGCAGTCGCCTTGGCAGCCTGATTCAACAGAAACTTATGACCGGAGGAGCCATCCCACGCGTGATGACGCCCAGCGCAGGGGACCGCGTGGGCGGGTGTTGAGCGCAGCCCCCAGCACACCTCTCGCGTAATGATCGTTTCTCCTCCATCATTTTTCGCCACCGAGATGCATTACTTTTATACATGCTTCTTTTTTATGCATTGCGTTTTCAGATCGAACCGTCGTTTTTACAATCGCCACCAGTGACGGAGACACTGATCGTATTCCTGGCTAAATAAAAAATGCAGTGTTCTCGTGAACAGGAAGCATTCAAACGCCCCTAAATGTAGCCATACACCAACTAAATGCTGTCTACATACCATTGGGGCTTTACGACGCACTCGGCTGCGAAGGCTAAATAGCACTGCCTACCTCTCACTCTGGCAGGAAGGGTGAGCACCGGGGGAAACCGAGACCAGTACCTCTCGTTTGCTTAACACACACTTCATCACTATGCTATCAGCACCCCTTTGATTAAATTTTCAGTTCTGTTTGGGCTTGAAAACATATGCACTGTGAGGGCCAGTCCAATAACCCACAAATTGTTTTAAGAGATTGCTAAGGCAGTGTAGGAATATAGGGATCAACGTGATTAATGACCCTATAACCAGACTTCAGATGCACAAGTTATGCTGTAACCAGACTCCAGTGGCACATTTTGCAATGCATGCATCCAACATGCAAGTTAAAATCCTATAGGCAAACCCCCTGCAGAATGTGCTATCAATGCTTCAACAGGGATGCAGTGCGACTTTACAGATACTTGCCATAATACCCCGACCAGTGGCTGGAGCATACAGTCAACACTTACATCCAGATCCTCGATTTGCCCCTTGAGCTGTTCGATCTGCTTCTGAAGCTCCTCGGCCGGTGGGGGCGGTGGCGACGGCGGCGCCGACGCTGCAGCGTCTGATGCCGGTGTCTGCGGAGTGGCGCTGCAGAACGTGGACCTGCGGAGAGCGTGGCACACTGTCTGTGCACCAATGGACATGGCCACGATGACAACAGCCTGTGAATGGTGTGCCTGGTGCTGGTCTAACTCATAAACTGCTGTAAAGATAGCTACCTTCAAACCATTTAAAACATTCTACAACTTCTGGCACTGTGTTAGAGCAAAATTGCACCATAAGTACAATGACACAAAACAAGTACTTTTAGGAACTGGTCAACCAGCAAAGTTGCCTACAACATGATAGTTAGAATATGTGGCTGTAACTAGAACAAACTGGAATGCAAATCTGTTTACAAGTCCAGTATGAGAGCACTGTGTGACCATCTTCCACAAGAAGTGTGATCAGGGTCTTTTGAACATTGCCTGTTGTAGAGAAAAAAAAACCCTTTTCACAATAGAGAAAGAAGTGCAAATAAGTGATATGAGGACTTCTACCAGTGGCACATCACATGTCTTTGGTTGTTGTCTTCTGCGACCTTATCTCAGTCTGTACATAGTTACCTAAGCAAACTCACAAATTCAATGGAAGCTGGTTTATCTGGAATACAAAATGGTCTGCAGACTGGAAATCTTTACTGATTGACTGGGGCATTCATTTCAAATTATTTGCATCTGACATTGTATGTAGAAAATAACAAATAGAGCAGTTTAAATGAATGAAGTGCCTCAGGACTATGCTGATGTCTTTTCAGGCCAAGAATTAGGGTGAACTGCCCATGGGCTGTGGACACCATTAATACCAGCCTACCTAGCATATATAACACTATTACATAATTGTGATTTTGAACAGAACCTAGCTGGTGGCACTCAAACTTTTTCTGCAAGCAAAACTCACCTCCAGCCACACCAGTAACCTTGATAGCAACCCTTCTTTAATTATTTCTTTGAATAGTACATGACACAAGCTAAGGAGCATAGTGACTGGCATTGAATTACACAGCATACTTTCATACCAAATACACATAAACATGCTATAATCAAATATATTTGTCTATATGAGTATAATAAACCAAACCCAGCAGCCACAAAAAATAGGCAAGACTGGTCCAATTCCCAAAAACATACATATCAAAATCCAAATTTTGATACCCTGCCTCACCTCTCTGACAGGCTTGATGAACACAAGCTCAAGGTAATGTGTACATCACATATCATCAGCCTCCTAGCCAGACAATAAGGAATGAATATTATGCTGAGCACATCTGGTATGCCAGAGCAATTACTTCACATCAGAGCAATATATGCTGAACATCCATGTGCCCCAAGTTCATACCACCATGGCCAATGATAAGAAAGGAACTTAGATACTGCTATCTTACTTTTAAAACAATGCCTCCAAAACGCTCCCAAATATGTTTTTGGTAAAACATGGTCCCCCGCTACACCCACCACTGATCTTCAAAGATCATACTCTCACACCAACGTTCATACTATCCAATCACTCGACACACTCTGCCCAGAAAAGTGGACCGGTTGCCGGCGCACACGCTGGCTGTGTCGCAAAGTCATAACAAGCTTGGACTATGCTCAGCGTAAGCATGCACTTGGTTGAATGCACCGATGTAACTTAGCATCTGAAGTCGCAGACGAAGTTTTTGCAGACTGGCAGCGCTAGAAAGGTTTATATCTTGTTTTATATCGATTTATGAACACTTACTGCAACGTCCAGGCAGGTTGTCGGATTATTCCACGCATCAAGAAGGCTTTTGAAGCCAAGGACCGAATGCTGGCTGCAGAAGGCATGACAAACCTTACTTGGTTAAAAGCTAATTCAGATTTAGCGCGTTCAGCTTAAAGTACAGCACAGAAAGCAACGCTTCCGGGATCTTTTAAGCCTCGGTGCCTGAACTGGCTCAACAATTAATTGCAGCCTTTGCAACCGCACGCAGCCCCCACACTCTTACAACATAAGCCGTATATGGCTGCAACGTGACCAACCGAACGAGGACAGAACATTATGTTATCCTGTAGTTTACAGCTGAGCTCCAAAGTTTGTTGTAAACCTAGCGGTCAAATTTTTAAAATTATTAAGTTTTCTATTAAAACTGCCGTTACTTTTATAACAGTAATTTTAGTGACTATTTTAATTTAATGATAATAATCTAAAAAACTAAAATGGCAAAATTAACTTCAAGCTGAAAAAGACTATAAGTTTTGTTTTTCTTTTGAGCACTGCCTTGTTCATCTAACGCCATCCTGGCGCAGCCGTGTCATAGCGCAGCGCAGGTGTAATCCCGTTTGCCCAGCAGTAGTAAATGAAGTTTGTGAACAGTTACGGCGGGGATAGCGCGCGTAATATCCATGCTAGCGTCCTTACAATGAGAAGTTACATAATGCCTATGTCGATGTTCTGAGCTACAATCGGTGATCTCCTATTCCTTAAGCATGCGTCATTCTCATTATTGTTGGCACCATTCGCATTTGTGCCTGTGTGAGAGGGATATGGTAAATTGTAATAGGCCTCACATCTGCAACTTGCTTTTGTGGAAGGAAACTTGAATTTATCATGTTCCATGCAGCCCATGGGACATGCATAATTTAATCTTATTGTTGTAATTCTGTAGATGTTGCAGTTCTGGATTTTGCAGATGCTTCATTGTGTGAACTCGAGCAACCTGTTATACAGGTGGTTTCATTTCAGCTGAAAATTGTTGAACAACCAAGTCACAATGCAGGGCAAATCAAAGCTTAAGTCAAAACTGTCATCAAAACCAAAGAAGAAACAGCAGGCATATAAGAGCAGTGCGTCAAAGACAAAGAGAGGCCAAGGTTTGTAATTTGTAATCCCCATGCCGGGCTCATGGGCTTTGCCACTAGGAAGCAATTGTTTGTTCAAGCTGATCCAGAATTTGTGACTTGTCCTGTGCAAATGACTATTTCTTGTACAAAAGTTTGTTGATAGGTAGAAATATATTTTCAAAAAGCTGTAGATGTCCACACACTTTCCAGGTAGTGGAGGCCCTTGTCTGGCAGGAATGGGACCAGTTCTTGGGGAATGTGACATATATGGAGCCATTTTTTGTTAGTTGTTTAGAGTATCAAAATGTTGAAGCTTGGTGTGCTTTATGCCTTGACATTGCCTGGAGGCTTAGCAGTGTATGTTAAATAGCTGCTCATGATTATTAGGCAAGAAAGCACTGAAATGTATCATTGGCTGAATGGAAACCATTTGGGTGGTAAACCATAAAAAGCATGAGAAATCCCATGTAAACAAGGATTTGTGCACATTTTTTTGCAGATAAATTGTTTCATTTGCTGCACAAACCAGTTGTTAAAGTTTCATTGTCCCATCCCATCCCATTTCAAATGACTGTTGATGATTGTAGCGGACCATGTTTACGCAACCTAGTTACTGTATGCATGGCTTTTCATTGTATGTGTCAGGTATTGGTGTCTTGGGGTTATTGCTAGTGTTGCAACTTGAAAGGAAGCCTCTAGTTGCTGGCAGTGTTAAAACTAAAAAGGAAACCATGCTTTTAGTTGTATGTGGTTGCAGGATCCATCATTCCCTCGAAGAAGTCAGTTGTTTTGCAGCAGCAAAAAGTTACAAAGTCTCTTACTAAGGCCATCAATGCCAAGGCAGAAAGTGATTTGAAATCAAGATCCTTCCAGTCAGATGGAAAATCATTCAAGGTAAGGTATTTTGGACATGGAATCCCAGTTGCTATAACTTTTTTGGAAAATATTGCAAGAGCTGTTGATTTTGTATTGTATACCTAGCTTTGAACCACATAGTCTGCAAAAATTATGTTTGGAAATGCTGTTATGAAGGCCATTTACATAAAGGCCCACCTCGTTCAGGCTATTGCTAGCATACAAGGCAAACTGAACAACATATGATTTTTGGGCTATCTGATTGCACCTGCTTGGTTTCCTGTTGCTATCTCATGTGTTTTATAGGCTTTTGATATTTGATAGTCCTGAAATTCAGTCATTCATTTGCCTCAGTGTACTTTACAGCATGAGGAATCCCAATGCTGTGATTTTTTGGATTTTACTGACATGAATTAGATGTGTTTTTGAGATCACTTGGAGGAATGTTGTATTGGTAGAAGTGCTGAGATCATTTGCATATTAAATAGCACTGTGGCTATTAATGTTTTCAGATGCTTGGAAAAGTGGATGTCAGCAGTGAACCAAAAAAAGGAGCGGGAAGCTCGAAGGGAGCAGGAGGTGCAAAGGCAGCAGGCAATAAGAAGGGAAAGAAACAAGTTCATGGAAATAAAAAGAAGAAATAGAATGTTGATGAATGTCATCTGTGTGAACCAGCATCACATCATAAAATAGCCATTTCATATAAATGACAACATCAGGTTGTGAATAGGATTGCAACCAATCACCACTGTTTAAGATGTGCAGATTGTTACTTTGAGTTTGGTTTTTGAAAGAAACGACTTTTCTGCAAGGGGTTTCTTGTGCTGTTTGGTTTTGTTTCTATAGAGATGACTGGATGTAGTTCCCATTTCATTCTGTAGATTTTCAACTGAGATTCGTGACAGCAGAACACTGGTGCTTCTTGGCCTATGACAAGTTAGCGGGTCTGCTTGCGGGCTTGCCCGGCTTATGAGCTTGCCTTCTTCCATTTCGGAGTGCATGTCACTGAAACGCATAATACAAAAGGTTGCATCTGATGATTGTTACGTTAAGTTCTCATTGCGAATCAAACGCCACTGACGCATTCAAACTGACGCAATCAAACGCCCCACCTCTCGCTGTCGCGTCAAACCATCGAGTCAGCGACTCTGGTGACCTCTGGACACGATTGTATTGGGCGTACTGCTCGGCCTGAATAATTGCCAAGATCAAGACCAAACGTCCGCCTGACTAATCAGTTATCGTACCTATGCTCTGTCCGCTACGTGGTAGGGCAGGCATAGGGCTATGGGTCAAGTCATTGTGCAAAACCGTCATTCTTTTAAAGATATTAAGATATAGAAGATAACTTTCAGCGATGAAAGGCCAAAATCCAACCGCCTTCATGTCTATATGTTAAGTTACCCTAACTTTCCAAACTCATAGCATGTCTAGAAGTATTATATTGCCACTGTAAATGTATGGAAGGGCTGAGAGATGTCGTCGAATGCGCCTTACTTGACCGGTCGTCCAGGTGTTGTACATACCTAACGGTCATGCCATGTTCGGCATCGACCCGCGCGCCTCACGAGCGCCTCACGCAACAATGTCCTCAAGATTGACGCACCCGCATCGCTCGGAGCGTCCGTCAGACCTATGGAGAAACGCTACCGTGCCGTGGACTGCGCCTCGTTGAACCGTTGTGTGCCCGAACGCCGATGACTTGAGGCTGGTGTGACGACGCAGTGTGACGCAGCGTAGTTGTGCAAAGCCGAGACTTCTAGCCACAAACACTTCGCCTGTACCGCAAATAAGCACAGTACTTGGGGTGTCGTGTTAGCGATGCCTGGCTCGTTTTGCTGTAGTAACGTTGCGTCAGAGTGCTGACGTTGCATCACGACTGATACGGACGACATTTCTGCCTACGCTGCGAAACATTTGTGCTGTTGATGCCGGTCTCTAGCTTTGACCTCAGTTCAACAAGCTCCGTTGGGTGCATTGAATGAACCGGCGTCACAGGTTCGTGCCAATTTGCCTGTGATGGGGGGGGGGAGGGGAGGGGGGGGGGGGTCTGGTCGCTCGGACCTGTTGGCACGTAGCGGAAGTTCCTGGTCTACAACAGTCAGAGACTGGCTGCCTCGTGATCGTAGCGAAGTGGCGAAGCGTGGCACGGCGCGGGCGCCAACGACACAGAAGGCCGGTGGAACGACTCGCAAATCGGGCGCATACAGGGGCGGACCATATGCCGCTCCAACGCTGGAATAGAAGAGGTTCACGACTGTTTATGCCGTTTATTGGGGCGGTGCGACCTGCCCGCCCGAGTTGCGATTTTCACACATAAGCAATACCATGACACGACCTCCCGTCCGTCACCGATACACAGTCGCAACAGCTGTCAGAGTCCGGACGGTCCCCGCCTATCACCGACGGTGGCGACACCTCGCGGAGCCGGCGTCGTCACTGCGCACGACGGACCTGCTGTCTGCAGATGGACTCCACATCTGAGTGGCGTACTGCGCTGCAGGTAGGGCTTGGTGCGGCTGTCATCCGATTTGATCACGTGATAAGTTGCACCGGACGGCGTTTCGCCGGGCAGTCGGTGAGTCTCCCGCGTGGTGTAGATAGCGCTGCCCGTCGCGCGGTGTTGCCGTAGGGGCGCCACCGTCGCCCCAGCGGTCACGTCGTCGTTCACGTGCACTTGCAACGGTCCTCCGGGCAGTGGCTCGGGTAGCCCAGGCAGTGCTCGTGACAGTAGAGGCCGGCCTCGGGCCGCAGCGCGAACTCTCCAATGGCCTCGCACTCCGAGCTGCAGAGAACAACGGCGGCAAGACGGAGTGTCAGACACCAGGCTGGTTTATATTGGTTCGCCAGTCGCTGTCACAGATAGCCTGAGCTGTGTGGAGCATTGCCGCTGCACGACTGGCTACGGCATGACAAGTGATCGCACTGGCCACTCGCCTCTAATGTGGGTCGTATTAAATCGGTCTGCTGAGGTACATGGCAGATCATTTACCCCCTCCAATGCCTCCTTCCGCTTCAATTGATCCTCTTTTTTTGGCCTGCTCTCTCTTACTTCAGAGCCCCTCCCCCTCGCTTCCCGCTGGCGGCTCCAGGCCGGCCGGCAGCGTACTCACATGCACATGCACTTGTCCGTGGGGCAGGCGGCCGGGTCGGCCAGACACTGGATGCAGCGCGCGGACGCCTCCGGCAGCTGGGCGAACTGGCCGTGCGGAATGCAGACCTGCGCACGGAACGCCAGCTCGCTGGGCCGCTCCGAGCGGTCGCTCTGGTCGCCGGTCACCCTCGCCACGTCAGCCTTCGTGTACGGCAGGTTCAGCTTCAGACTGCCGGGACGAGGGCGCGTTGTCACTGTTGGCATCCGAGCACCACGCTCGGTGACGTCAGGGCGTGTCTGAGGGCTTTGCCGGAACGGCCGGGGGGCAATGGTCTGGACCATAACATTCCAGAGAATTGGAGCTAGGGGTGTGGTAGATGTGAAAGACTTGAGAGTCTGTCCCTCCACGCAGGGCTAGTCTGCAGAGTAACCCTGAGTTGAAAACTACACTGGGGCGAAGTTGAAGACGATGCCGACATCGCCCACCTGTTGTCCACTGGTCCGAAGAAGCCCGAGTTGGAGATGATGGCAACGTCTGCGCAGTTGATGAACGTCTCCTGCGGGCCACAACCGACGGCTTCCTCCCCGTTGGAACAGGTGCCCCAGGTGTTGCCGGCGTAGTACGTCCACTGCATCACGCACTGGTTGCACGTCAAGTAGGGTGGCAGCTCCACCTTCCAGCGGAACGTTTCCGATTTTTTGCTGTCGTCAGGGATGATGAAGCGGATCGAGTTGGTGCCGGCCACCCTCAGCACGTGCCTGCGGTGAACGCAACATGGCGTGACGTCAGCTGCCGCACAGTCAGACCCAGGAATGTCTGGACGCGTTGGTGATGGGCGTGGTGTGCATGGTTACCATCTCCCAATTGATCATGATTGGCATCGTTCACAAAATATTTTTGAGATTTTTGGGCGCAAACCTCTGTCGAGCGTTCCATTTCGTGATAAAATCAAAATTAGTCATGTGGGCGAAGGGAGACGTATAGTATGGTGCAGTTACATATGAACAGAATGATTCGCCACCCTTCCGCCCACCCCGCTGCTCTTCGCCTTCACAAGTCAGCACAAACCGATCCGGCACCTGTGTGTAATGCGCAGTTCGCACATTCCACCACTACCGCGCGCACTTCACGTTCATTGCTTCGATGCGCATATTCTGTGTTAGCTGCCTAACTACCTACGTGCAAACGCTGTGCCTTCCTACTCGTTGTCCACATCGTTTCAGTGAGCAAGCCAGTCCGATGAAGCCGTGAACCCATTGATAACCATCGCACGCGCCCACCGGTTCTGGTGACGCCGCCGCCATCCTCGAGTCGCACTAAACGAGTGCGTCACAGCGTCAGATAACTGCCAGGCCTGGCCTCTCGGTCAGCTCCGCCCCTCTGGGCGTCGGGCTGGACACGTGACAGCGTCAGGCGACCGCGTCTGCCCTGCAGTGCCACCCCTCCGGTCGGCGGCTCATCACGTGACTTCATCAGATGACGGCGTCTGCCCCAGCAGCTGCAGACTGCCGGTCAGCGGCTCGCCCCCGCCGCCGTCGATACCATCTGGCCGGCCGCCGCGCCGAACCGGCTCGGGCCGCGGTCAGGGGCCGCCTTAATGAGCGGCGAGCGGCGCCGACCCCGGCCGCCGCGCCGTTCCGTTGACCCCGACGCGCCCCGCCCCGCCAGGGTAAGGTGTCCGGTCCTGCTGCTCGGTCACACCCAGCCCCACCCCGCCCCCC